TTTATTGTTTATCGGGGTCAAGGGCTCATCAAAGAAGACTTTCAGCACCTAGTCGACACGAAAGGTGGACTGCTTTCGTTCAACAATTTTTTGTCGACTAGTACAGAAAAACAGGTTGCTATGGGATTTGTTCAACATACCATGCACAAGAATAAAGACATCGTGGGTGTCCTTTTCATCATGACAATTGATTCAAGTAAAATTTCAGCTTCAACTACACCATTTGCCCTCATCGACGATTACGGTGCTATCAAAAGTGAAAAAGAAATTTTATTCTCAATGCACAGTGTTTTTCGTGTCGATGATATCAAACAAATGGTCAGCAACAGTCGTCTATGGGAAGTTCAATTAAGTCTCACAGGTGACAATGATCCACAATTGGCTACTCTTACTGAACGCATAAAAGGGGAGCTCTGTGGATCCACAGGATGACATCAACTGGGTCATCTAATGCTCAAATGTGGACACTTCAATCAAGCTGAAGAACTTTACAACGGATTACTAAAGAACTCATCCAGCGACAGTGATAGAGCACATATATATCATATGCTTGGTAAAGTTAAATGGCAGCAGGGTCAATATGAAAAAGAGATTACATTTTATGAAAAATCACTTGAAATCAAGCGAAAAACTCTTCCGGAAGATCATTCTTCATTGGCTTCTACCTACATTAACATCGGTCTTGCGTATAAGAACATGGGTAACTACTCGAAAGCACTTGAATTTTACGACAAATCACTTAAAATAAAAGAAAAATCTCTGCCTCCGAATCATCCTGATTTGGCTACTTCCTACAACAACATCGGTCTTGCGTATGACAACATGGGTAACTACTCGAAAGCACTTGAATTTTACGACAAATCACTTAAAATAGGAGAAAAAGATCTGCCTTCGAATCATCCCGATTTGGCTATTTCCTACAACAACATGGGTTCGGTGTATGACAACTTCGGTAGCTACTCGAAAGCACTTGAATATTGGGTGTGGGTGTGGGTGTCGGTGTATGTATGGGTTTGGATGTGGGTGGGTGTGGATGTGAGTGTAGGTGTAGATTTGGGTTTGGGTTTCAACATAGATCTTTTCTTGACAACACCCACACCTACACCCACACTGTAAAAAAATAGGTACTTTCCTGAACCCTCCAAAAAGGTTTCGTAGGTGTCCAAAAACTTCCAAATGCGTTCAAACGCTCAAAAAATCGATTCTAAAAATCTACGAAACCTTAAAAGGATCTGACCGCGGATACACGGTCGAAACCATCTCCTACGAAACCTGTCTCAAGTTCCGTACAGCGAAAAAAGGTTTCGTAAGAAGATACGAAACCTTTATAGTTTCCTAGTAAGCTTTATGGTTTTGCACTACGGTTTCATACGCAACCGTTATTTTTAGTAGGAAGCTATAAAGGTTTCGTATTTTCTTACGAAACCTTATTTCGCTGTACAGAACTTGAAAAAGGTTTCGTAGGAGATGGTTCCGGCCGTGTATCCGCGGTCAGATCCTTTTAAGGTTTCGTAGATTTTTGGAATCGTGTTTTTGAGCGTTTGAACGCATTTGGAAGCTTTTGGACACCTACGAAACCTTTTTGGAGGGTCCAGGAAAGTATCTATTTGTTTTACAGTGCACCCACACCCACACGCACTTACAATCACATCCAAACCCACACTTCGCACCCACACCCACACCCACACTTACATACCACCCCACACCCACACCAACACCCACCCACACCACACACTCACATCCACACCCCATAATGAGGGTGGGCGTGGATATGACCGTGTATTTTCTTTTCACGTACAGCAACATCGACTGCCACATACCATCCAAGGCGATGACACTCAAGTGGTTGTGGAGACAATAACTAAAGAAAACTTGGAAAGACAAATAATCTCATGAGTGATGTTACAGGGCTTTTTCTACTTTGTTTATTGTTCACAGTTATATTCTCAAGTTAAGCTAGGTAGAGTTTACTGAGTGTCAACGAATAAAAACACTTACATTTGAAATCGTAAGTCTAGAAAAAAGCAGAATACAGCAGCTGTATAAATGAACAACGTGATTTCTGTTCAGCCCATTGCAGATTACTCACAATTCTAGATTATCACTCAAGCGGCATATCATATGCAGTATGAGTGGACACGTGTTCAAGACAACAGTTTCTACGTCACAAGTCGATGCCATTACAACTTCAAGAACATCTTCAAATACCATTGAAGCAAAACAACACCGAGTTCAAGATTATTCGTTGATTTGGATGGACGGCAACATTGATGTGGCCGATAAGAATTGTCAAAATGCGCTTTCGCAATTACGCAGTGTCATTAATGACGTCCATACTTTCACCCAATCGGATGAAGGCGTTGACTTTCTCACTGAAGTCAATGACAGAAAGGTGTTCCTCGTTGTAGCAAGTACTATGAACCAACCAATGATACCTCTGATACATGACATTGCGCATCTTGACTGCATTTACATCTTTTCTGAGAATGAAACACAACACAAAGAATGGACAACAAACTTACCAAAAATTCAAGGTATCTTTACAGAAATTGCACAAATTTGCGATTCATTACAAAAAGTCACTCGTCAATGCGATCACGACGCAATGCCGATGAGCTTCGTTCCAAAAGTGATGATGGTAGCAACAGCAGCATCTGCCGAACACAATCTCGACCAATTGGAGCCGTCTTTTATGTATTCGACATTATTCAAAGAAATTTTATTGGAAATCGAGGAAGACGACGCTAAGTCAATGAGTGACCTTGTCGCCTATTGCAGTAACAAAGGTGTTCCTGAATCACAATTAAAGGAATTTCAGGGTAGATACCACGATAAATCGCCAGTTTGGTGGTATACTCGGCAAATTTTCCTCTACGGCATGCTCAATTGCGCCCTACGGTCACTTGACATGGAGGCCATGACAAAAATGGGTTTCTTCATCCGCTCCCTCCATCGACAATTAGAAAAACTTCATCGAGAACAATCGGGTGTCTATATGAGAAAATTCATCGTTTATCGAGGTCAGGGGCTTGCCCAACAGGATTTTAAACATTTAGTCGACTCGAAAGGTGGACTTCTCTCGTTTAATAATTTCTTGTCGACCAGTACAAAAGAGCAGGTTGCTAAGGGATTTGTTCAACGTACCATGCACAAGAATAAAGACATCGTGGGTGTCCTTTTCATCATGACAATCGATTCAAGTAAAATTTCAGCTTCAACTACTCCATTTGCCCTCATCGACAAATACAGTGCTATCAAAAGTGAAGAAGAAATTCTATTCTCAATGCACACTGTTTTTCGTGTCGATGATATCAAGCAGGCAATCAGCAGCAATCGTCTATGGGAAGTACAATTGACTCTCACAGGCGACAATGATCCACAATTGGCTTCTCTCACCAATCGCATACGAGAAGAGATCGACGACACCGGGTGGTATAGAATGGGTAAACTGATGCTTCAAGTGGGTCACTTCAATCAAACTGAAGGACTTTACAACGAATTACTGAAGAACTCGTCCAGCGACAGTGATAGAGCACATATATATCATCAGCTTGGACTCTTGAAAAACGATCAAGGACAATACAAAGAAGCAGTTTCATTTTATGAAGAATCACTTGAAATCAAGCGAAAAAATCTTCCGGAAGATCATTCTTCATTGGCTCCTACCTACACTAACATCGGTGCAGCGTATGACAGCATGGGTAACTACTCGAAAGCACTTGAATTTCACGACAAAGCACATAAAATCTACGAAAAATCTCTGCCTCCGAATCATCCCTCATTGGCTACTTCCTACAACAACATCGGTGAAGTATATAGAAACATGGGTAACTACTCGAAAGCACTTGAATTTTACGACGAATCACTTAAAATAAGAGAAAAATCTCTGCCTCCGAATCATCCCGATTTGGCTACTTCCTACAACAACATC